TTATATATTTGGTAGTTCAAGGGGAAAAGTTTTTTACATTTTGTTATGAAGTATTTGTGGTGCTGTATTCTTATTCTGAGGATGGATTCCTGGTTGTCTTGAACTGACCTTCTAATTCCTGGGAATTCCTCCAGTGTAAACGATCATGTATTATTTGTCCAACTGTGTGTCCCAAATATCCTCATCAAACAAAGCATTCCCCCGATGATTCAAATTGTGCAAAATAGAAAGAAACGTCCAAGATGCAACTAAAATAACACAATATTGTGATTATATTATTTTTCATAAATTATAACCTCCAGTGACATCACTATTCAAATTGCACAAAACAGACCGATTGACCACACTGCCAGGCAATGACAAAGGATGAAAATTTATGGAAGTCAACTTTTGTAATATGAGTGACATGACATTTCAGAGTATTCTTACTCCTTCATCAGGTGGGGTGACATGACATGAAGGCAGGATGCTTCCTAACAACATGCCAATATCCAATCAAGCCTAACTAACAATCATACCTTACATCAATAGACGAGGTGATTTACCGTTTACACATCAGCTGCAGGTTGGCTAAGGACATTACTGCCAAGGACAAGTAAATATTGACAAATTGTTTAGTTTGGTTTGTTGTTTAATGCACTCAGTAATATTCCATGTCTAAACTTGATGTTTGTCGTTTGTCCCCACAACTTCATTTGCAAGGAGTGAGTGAAAAGTTCTGAGCTTAATTGCAAAAGATGTACAGCACATCCTTAACAGTTTGCACGTGTAAGTACTATCAATGTTTACAGGTTTCATTTGAAATAAATGCACAACCAAGCATCATATTTCTGTTGGGATCAACCAATGAAAATGGACAAAAGTGTCAAAGTATGGACATAACCCTCTTTCCATTGTCACTGTTATATTGGTGCAGCACAGATCAACAGGGGAAGAAAGATCCTTGAAAATTATCCAAGATCAGGAAGACCTCATGGTACATCCCATAGCCAAGATAGTAGATATCTTTCATGAGAGAGTTCAGAACATTCTAAAGAATGAACAGGTAATGACAAAGGTTTCAGGGGACTGGGTTCCAAGGCTTCTGGCTCCTGGTCATTAATGATCCAAGTTCATCGTCTCTCATGAAAATTTTACATTGTTTTGAAGTAGATCCAGCTTATTATTTTAAGCAGTTTTTTTATCATGGTCTCAAATTTTCAGTCATAAATTAAACAACAACTGAAGCATTGGAAACCTCTAACATCTCTAATAAAGAAGACAAAGTCTGTTACATGCCCTATTTTGGGAGAATATGAACATTAATGGTCAATAGTATCAAAATCAGATTAGGCACTTGCTTTAGAATTTCACTTAAGATGTGTAGTTCCTCCAGGACAATGTACCTGTGTACAAATGGCCATAGCTGCATTGTTGTGGCTTTCAGCTCATTGAGCATCATGTGTTCACCTTGATAGTCTGTACTGACCTAAATCTGGTTGTTTACTATGATAGTCTGTACTGACCTAAATCTGGTTGTTTACTATGATAGTCTGTACTGACCTAAATCTGGTTGTTTACTATGATAGTCTGTACTGACCTAAATCTGGTTGTTTACTATGATAGTCTGTACTGACCTAAATCTGGTTGTTTACTATGATAGTCTGTACTGACCTTCATCTGGTTGTTTACTATGATAGTCTGTACTGACCTAAATCTGGTTGTTTACTATGATAGTCTGTACTGATCTAAATCTGGTTGTTTACTATGATAGTCTGTGCTGACCTTCATCTGGTTGTTTACTATGATAGTCTGTACTGACCTAAATCTGGTTGTTTACTATGATAGTCTTTACTGACCTAAATCTGGTTGTTTACTATGATAGTCTGTACTGACCTAAATCTGGTTGTTTACTATGATAGTCTGTACTGACCTAAATCTGGTTGTTTACTATGATAGTCTGTACTGACCTAAATCTGGTTGTTTACTATGATAGTCTGTACTGACCTTCATCTGGTTGTTTACTATGATAGTCTGTGCTGACCTAAATCTGGTTGTTTACTATGATAGTCTGTACTGACCTAAATCTGGTTGTTTACCATGATAGTCTGTACTGACCTAAATCTGGTTCTGTTCACCATGATAGTCTGTGGTGACCTTCATCTGGTTCTGTTCACCATGATAGTCTGTACTGACCTACATCTGGTTCTCTTCACGATGATAGTCTGTACTGACCTAAATCTGGTTCTGTTCATGATGATAGTCTGTGGTGACCTAAATCTGGTTCTGTTCACCATGATAGTCTGTGCTGACTTTTAGCTATTTCTGTTAACCATGATAGTCTGTACCAACCTAAATCTGGTTCTGTTCACCATGATAGTCTGTGCTGACTTTTAGCTAATTCTGTTTACCATGATAGTCTGTACCGACCTAAATCTGGTTCTGTTCACCATGATAGTCTGTACCGACCTAAATCTGGTTCTGTTCACTATGATAGTCTGTGGTGACCTAAATCTGGTTCTGTTCACCATGATAGTCTGTACCAACCTAAATCTGGTTCTGTTCACCATGATAGTGTGTACCGACCTAAATCTGGTTCTGTTCACCATGATAGTCTGTGCTGACCTAAATCTGGTTCTGTTCACCATGATGGTCTGTGCTGACTTTCATCTGGTTCTGTTTACCATGATAGTCTGTACTGACCTAAATCTGGTTCTGTTCACCATGATAGTCTGTGCTGACCTTCATCTGGTTCTGTTCACCATGATAGTCTGTGCTGACCTTCATCTGGTTCTGTTCACCATGATAGTCTGTGCTGACCTAAATCTGGTTCTGTTTACCATGATAGTCTGTGCTGACCTTCATCTGGTTCTGTTTACCATGATAGTCTGTGCTGACCTTCATCTGGTTCTGTTCACCATGATAGTCTGTACCGACCTTAATCTGGTTCTGTTCACCATGATAGTCTGTGCTGACCTTCATCTGGTTCTGTTCACCATGATAGTCTGTACTGACCTAAATCTGGTTCTGTTCACCATGATAGTCTGTACTGACCTAAATCTGGTTCTGTTCATCATGATAGTCTGTGGTGACCTAAATCTGGTTCTGTTCACCATGATAGTCTGTGCTGACTTTTAGCTATTTCTGTTCACCATGATAGTCTGTACCGACCTAAATCTGGTTCTGTTCACCATGATAGTCTGTACCAACCTAAATCTGGTTCTGTTCACCATGATAGTCTGTGCCGACCTAAATCTGGTTCTGTTCACCATGATAGTCTGTGCTGACCTAAATCTGGTTCTGTTCACCATGATGGTCTGTGCTGACTTTTAGCTATTTCTGTTTACCATGATAGTCTGTACCGACCTAAATCTGGTTCTGTTCACCATGATAGTCTGTACCGACCTAAATCTGGTTCTGTTCACTATGATAGTCTGTGCCGACCTAAATCTGGTTCTGTTCACCATGATAGTCTGTGCTGACCTAAATCTGGTTCTGTTCACCATGATGGTCTGTGCTGACTTTTAGCTATTTCTGTTTACCATGATAGTCTGTGCTGACCTAAATCTGGTTCTGTTCACCATGATAGTCTGTGGTGACCTACATCTGGTTCTGTTCACCATGATAGTCTGTGGTGACCTAAATCTGGTTCTGTTCACCATGATAGTCTGTGCTGACCTTTAGCTATTTCTGTTTACCATGATAGTCTGTACCGACCTAAATCTGGTTCTGTTCACCATGATAGTCTGTGGTGACCTAAATCTGGTTCTGTTCAAGGTCACATGCAACCAAAAAATCAAACATAATTAAAACAAAATTATCACTTCTTCATGACATATAATATGCATTGCTGATTATGAAAAAACAAATAAACAAAAATATAAACGTATCATCGCAAATCAAAAGTGCAATATTTTGTACTCGGGTTTACCTCCCTCGAAACGAAGCAGCCGGGATACCGAACCCAGTCAGAGCGGGTGGGTGTGCACTCAAGTGTAACGGCAGGTTCATTAGCAGATGCCGCCTTCACGGGTGTGTATATATAGAAAGTTGGGTTTTGTAAATACATGCTCATTTTTTGTGTATAAAACATTTTGCAATCAACAGACATCATAACATGTCATGTGTACAAGTATCACACCTGCCTGTCTGTGTAATTACATAATGTGACAGAGACCGGGAACTTCGGGCCATAAATCAATGCGTTTGTTTATGGTGTATAGCCTGATTGGTGTTAAGTTCAAATTGCATGTGGTCAGTGATCGCGGTTATTGTATTGAATATTGTCATTAGCAGACAGGCAGGCAGACACACTGGTGTCAATAAAACAAGACATTGAGTTTTGTCTGTGACAGCGACATATCTATATCACAGTTAGAAATCGTGTCAACTCTAAATTATGACATTGCTTTTAAGTGTCGAACTGAGAAAGTGACTCGGTAAGAAGAGCGTGTGGTGAAATAGACAAATGAAATTATATAAACAGTTTATTTACTGTCATAACATACAAAAGCTTCAGCCTGTGAGATATCAACAAAAATTATGAAACTAGCTCACACAAAGCCTTCACCGGTATTCACCAGACAGCCCGGCTTCCAAGTTTGTGAACCTATTTCACTGCGCGCGTGCTATGAGCGCAGCCAACTGTTGAAACCCGTATTCCCCAGAAAAGTCTGGGGAAAATTAGTGAAACGTTTGAACTCCGATTTCGCGCGGTTTTTTTCATCGCGTTATTTTTCAACTTTATAAGTTGAATTTGCATTTTTGCCGCTTTTTTTCGGTAAGTCCATACCGAAAGGTATCAGAATCTGCAAAGTTGTGTTTTACGTTGCATGTGACCTTTCACCATGATAGTCTGTACTGACCTAAATCTGGTTCTGTTCACCATGATAGTCTGTGGTGACCTAAATCTGGTTCTGTTTACCATGATAGTCTGTACTGACCTTCAGCTGGTTCTGTTCACCATGATAGTCTGTGCTGACCTAAATCTGGTTCTGTTCACCATGATAGTCTGTACTGACCTTCAGCTGGTTCTGTTCCCCATAATACTCTATGTTCTGAAAAATGTTCCAGGTGCATCTCCTGCGAGCCTCTAGTCGAGCTGTATATTGCCGGTACCACTTCTGTATCAAGATTGCTGCTTTGATAGCTGAAGGACAAACATACAACCATTTTAGACATTGTATCATCTGGGATTAATAGTAAACAGTAATATTTACAATCAATATCTAAGCCCACAAGTTGTATGAGAATTTCATATTCCATGAATTAATATCATTTGTATTTTTTCACATTTTGATTCTTTACCTCCATTGACCAACAGAATGTTAATATCTGTTGACCCAAACCCTAGTGTAAATGTCTGAGTTTGTTTTAAATGTTTGACATAATTAAGTTTGTTTGCTTTGGATGATGAAAAAGTACCCCTCATGGCTTGCTGAAGTGTCTAACACTTCATGCATCTAATGTGAACAATATCAGAGCATCTGGTATCTTGTTGATGTTTCTTATCCAGCATGCATCTAATGTTGACAATATCCCAACTTCTGGTTGATATGTGTGACCCTATATGCGACAATATCCCAGCTACCTTTCTCTGACTTGGTCATCTCCTTGCGGCTGACTGTGTTGGAGGAGGCACACCCCATGGCGGAGGCTGGTGGACTCCCTCACATTCTATCTGCAGGGACGAAATGATTTAATGATCAGCAACATAGAAAATGCTCAAACAGTCACTGCAAACACATGAAACCAAAAAGCAACTATATGGTTTATGTGTATCTTGGTAAGTTTCACTGATCTGGACCCTGCCCTGGTTGGCTCAGTCTCTATGTCCTGGTAGGTCCAGTTTCTATGTCCTGGTTGGCTCAGTCTCTATGTCCTGGTAGGTCCAGTTTCTATGTCCTGGTAGGTCTAGGTCCAGTTTCTATGTCCTGGTTGGCTCAGTCTCTATTTCCTGGTATGTCCAGTCTCTGTGTCCTGGTAGGTCCAGTTTCTATGTCCTGGTTGGCTCAGTCTCTATGTCCTGGTTGGCTCAGTCTCTATGTACTGGTAGGTCCAGTCTCTGTGTCCTGGTGCGTTCAAAGTCTATTTTCTGGTAGGTCCAGTTTCTATGTCCTGTTAGGTCCAGTTTTTATGTCCTGTTAGGTCCAGTGTCTATGTTCTGGTTGGCTCAGTCTCTATGTCCTGGTAGGTCCAGTCTCTGTGTCCTGGTAGGTCCAGTTTCTATGTCCTGGTAGGTTCAGTCTCTGTGACCTGGTAGGTCCAGTCTCTGTGTCCTGGTTGGCTCAGTCTCTATGTCCTGGTAGGTCCAGTCTCTGTGTCCTGGTAGGTCCAGTCTCTATGTCCTGGTAGGTCCAGTCTCTATGTCCTGGTTGGCTCAGTCTCTGTGTCTCCTGTAGTCCTGGTAGGTCCAGTCTCTATGTCCTGGTAGGTCCAGTCTCTGTGTCCTGGTCCTGGGTCCAGTCTCTGTGTCCTGGTAGGTCCAGTCTCTATGTCCTGGTTGGCTCAGTCTCTATGTCCTGGTAGGTCCAGTCTCTATGTCCTGGTTGGGTCCAGTTCTCTATGTCCTGGTAGGTCCAGTCTCTGTGTCCTGGTAAGTCCAGTTTCTATGTCCTGGTTGGTCCAGTCTCTATGTCCTGGTAGGTCCAGTCTCTGTGTCCTGGTAGGTCCAGTCTCTATGTCCTGGTAGGTCCAGTCTCTGTGTCCTGGTAGGTCCAGTCTCTGTGTCCTGGTAGGTCCAGTCTCTATGTCCTGGTAGGTCCAGTCTCTGTGTCCTGGTAGGTACAGTCCCTGTGTCCTGGTAGGTCCAGTCTCTTTGTCCTGATGGGTCCAGTCTCAGTGTAGGCATGGACAAAATTTCCACTTGGCTTTCTGTCAAACCTAAAATCAATTCCTGTACAGGAATAGCCAACATTCTGTTCTGAACACTGAAAACTTGGAATGAGTTAATGCATTGTATGTGTCATGTATTGCTAATCTACAAACAAATGGGTTATTCACATGAGAAAATAGTCAAATATCAATGACTACTTCACTCCTTTAACGTCTCTAGTCGTGATCATTAAATCAGTTCAATTACATAGGCTGTCGTGCATCAAAGTGTGCCTCCAATCCCATTTATCAACTCAAGTCAGTGGCTTCCCTCTATAAAGCCTCACTGGGCACATACTCCTGCAATCCAGAAATATATGGATCTAACATTTCTGTATTAGCCTCCAAATGTGGAATGGACAAAAACAGATCACAGAGTTCTGGTAGTTTACCACAGCCACCTTGTAAACAGAACCAAGCAAGCAGCCTTATAGCTCACCTGAATTCTGCTATATGAATAAGATGGAATAGATGTTTAAACACACAGACAATATAATTCATGGCAGTGGCAGTAGGGCCATTTAGAACTGGCCATCATATGCACAATTCAAAAGACTGACTGGTTCAATATAGGTATCAAATATCATGATGAAAATATTTCATCAAAGGGAATGTTTTTTCCTTCTTTAATAAAAAACATTTCTGTTCCTCCAGTATACCTAGTAAACATTAGTTCTTCTCTTGGCAGAAATTCCTCCATTTGACCTAGCAATCATTGGCTCTCTCAGCAGTCATTCCTCCATTTGACCAAGCAATTTGGCTCTCTCAGCAGTCATTCCTCAATTTGACCTATTGGCTCCTCTTTAACCAACCAATCATTGCAGTCATTCCTCCCTCAGCAGTTTGACTCCCTAGCAGTCAATCATTGACCTCGCTCATCTCAGCAGTCATTCCTCCATTTGACCTAGCATTTGACAATTATTGGCTCTCTCAGCAGTCATTGGCTCCTCTCAGCAGTCATTCCTCCATTTGACCTAGCAATCCTCCATCATTCCTCCGACCCAACCAATCATTGGCTCTCTCAGCAGTAGCAATTCTCTCCATTTGACCTATCAGCAGTCATTCCTCCATTTGACCAACCAATCATTGGCTCTCTCAGCTCTGAGAATCATTGGCTTACAGCAGTCATTCCTCCATTCCTAGCATTATTCCTCTCTCTGAGCAGTCATTTACTCCATTTGACCTATTTCATCTCTGAGAAGCTACTCACCACGCAATTTTCAGTTTCTGCTCCCTCTATATAGCAATTAGTCAGGTTTGACCCTTGGATCATTAGTTTGCACTCTGTTAAGTGAGTCCTTTAACATGGGATGTATATTGAGAATGTTTAGATGTGGTTGACTTCAACTGGATAGTCCCAACTATCAACCTGCAATATGGGTATCCGAAGGGTTCATGAAGCTGCTAAGTTATGTGTTACAGTATTTGCATCATGCAGATCATGGCTAGTAGTTTATCTGTAAGATTCACATTAAAGTCAGACTTATGTCAGTCTCTCATCACTGATGGGTTTTCCAGTTTGTACAGGGAATGTGGATTCTCCTTGTCCTGGGTGGAATCATGTGACTAGTTGTTATCCACATGGTTCACAATAAGTGACATCAACATAACTCAATGCAGAAACTTGAATTCCTGGTTTGGACACTATTGTTGACAGATGTCATATTTGTGGCACACACCAAGTTGAAGTCACCACAGTTATGATGCATACAATCAATTCTGACATAAAGCATAAGCCAACTGTTATGTGGCAATTAGTGTGGATGTTTCATAACAGCCTGTTTATTTGTCAATATGCATGACTCTGTTCTTATGCCTTTCTCTCCAGTTGGGCAAGTTGACCCTGTATTTTATTTAGCATGATATTATGGAAGTCCACTGGTTTAAAGAGGAATACACAATAGTTCTGTTTATGAGGAAGATGTTTACTATCTCTGCAGTGCTAGTTTTCACTTCCTGAGAGATCTGTTGGTTCTGTTTATCAAGTATCAAGAATTGCTGTTGCCAGAGATTATGCTAGTTTTATTATCAGTTATTATGTAAATCAAATAACATTTGCTTTTTGTATATCACTAGTCTGAAAACTGGTTTCAATGGGGAAAATTCAACAAATTTGATTGTTATATATGTTACCCTTTGATTTTAATATGATTCTGTTCATCTGCCTAAGAGCAATACATTTATACCAAACTGGATATGCAAATATGTACATAAGATTTAATTCTGGTGTGCCCATACATTGTTTGGGTGGTAAAAGGTCAACCGTAAATGTCAGTGTGATCCATACAGTCAGAATATCTAGTCCTTGCAAACCAATATGCTAATCTGTCCATGTACATGAAGGGCAGGACAGAAGGACATCCGGGAATCATATATGCCATGCATGTAGACTGCTTCTCCTTACAATACAGTTGATATAGACCCACTGATGTTGGTGCACACTGCAGGGGATGTCCAATTGTTCCACAACTACTGCAGCTTAGGGTCAGACAGTCCACCTTGCAGTGTCTAGAGGAATTGAGTAGAACTGCAGTCACTTGGTTGATGGTTAAAAGGGATATCATATACACAACATCTGCTTGGTCCCTTGACATAGTTGCTTGTTTTGAGGTGATATCCTTTTATCACATGTTTAGTGCCTACTCAGCCTTACACACTGTGTGAATAATTCTCCAGCAGTCAGCCTATCAGTTTACTGCTCTCTGTATACAGGGGGAACTACATGTCACATTGACCATGACACTGTGATGGTTGCTCTCTGTATACAGGGGGAACTACATGTCACATTGACCATGACACTGTGATGGTTGCTCTCTGTACATACAGGGGACACTATGATGGTTGCATTGACCATGACACTGTGATGGTTGCTCTCTGTATACAGGGAACTACATGTCACATTGACATATGTCATTGACCATGACACTGTGATGGTTGCTCTCTGTATACAGGGGAACTACATGTCATGGACACTGTGATGGTTGCTCTCTGTATACAGGGGAACTACATGTCACATTGACCATGACACTGTGATGGTTGCTCTCTGTATACAGGGGGAACTACATGTCACATTGACCATGACACTGTGATGGTTGCTCTCTGTATACAGGGGGAACTACATGTCACATTGACCATGACACTGTGATGGTTGCTCTCTGTATACAGGGGAACTACATGTCACATTGACCATGACACTGTGATGGTTGCTCTCTGTATACAGGGGAACTACATGTCACATTGACCATGACACTGTGATGGTTGCTCTCTGTATACTGAGGGAACCTCCATGTCACACTGACCGTGATGGTTGCTCTCTGTATACAGGGGGAACTACCTGTCACATTGACCATGACACTGTGATGGTTGCTCTCTGTATACAGAGGGAACTTCATGTCACTGTGATGGTTGCTGTACCATGACACTGGAACTGTGATGGTTGCTCTCTGTATGAGGGGGAACTACATGTCACATTGACCATGACACTGTGATGGTTGCTCTCTGTATACAGGGGAACTACATGTCACATTGACCATGACACTGTGATGGTTGCTCTCTGTATACAGGGGAACTACATGTCACATTGACCATGACACTGTGATGGTTGCTCTCTGTATACAGGGGAACTACATGTCACATTGACCATGAATGATGGTTGTCTGACTGACTGTGATGGTTGCTCTCTGTATACAGGGGAACTGTCACATGTCACCATGACATTGACCATGACACCATGTGATGGTTGCTCTCTGTATACAGGGGAACTACATGTCACATTGACCATGACACTGTGATGGTTGCTCTCTGTAT